ACCGGACGTCCGAATCACGTCAAACAAACTCCGTTTCTCACCAAATTTCACAGACATGACTTAAATATTATATTGAACATGTACGAGGCTCCGAAATAAGAATAGGAACCCGATACCAACAAGATCAAGCATTAACAATTTCTTAAAAACCATTAAACTTTCAGACTTACAATTTTTAACAAAAATTCATAACTCGGGATAGGGACCTCCGAATCTAATTCCGGGGATACGCCCAGGTCCCATATTTCGATACAGACCCACTGGGACTCCCAAAACACGAGTTCGGGTCCATTTACTCAAAATGTTGACCGAAGTTAACTAAGTCATCTTTTAAGGGCAAAAATTATTTTATTAATCAACTTTCAACATAAAAGCTTTCCGAAATTACGCTCGAACTGTGCGCGCAAAGCGAGGAGGGATAAAATGATGTTTTAAAGGCGCCGGAACACAAAATTTTGTTTTAAATTATAAGATGACCTTTTGGGTCATCACACAACCTCCCCCTGACTCATTTGTAGCACTCTCACACCCTTCTTCAAATATGAACTTTATGCTCTGGAACTGTCGAGATTCCTTTGAACTCCATGGCCCGGCTTTAATAGTTCTCTTTGAAACTCACATGCACAACCATGCTATAGTACGTGACGACTTTGGTTTCACCAACTATTATGAGATTCCTGCCAACGGCCAAGCAGGTGGTATAGTCATGCAGGCATGACCATCTGTTGAGTGTTGACAATATAGCTATGACAGAGCAGGAGATTCACGTCATGATCCAGGTACTCCCTAATCCCCAGAAATGGTTTTTTTCTGCTATTTATGCTAGCCCTTATCATACTAACCGCAAGTTATTATGGAAAAATCTTATGTGTCTTTTTGATCATTATAAGGGTCCATGGGTCATTGGGGCGACTTCAATGAAATATTGCACTCCACTGAGAAATTTGGTGGACGATCTCTGAACAACTCCCGCTCAAATATGTTTGCGGATTGTATAAACTAATGTAATCTGATTGATCTTGGATTCAAGGGCAGTAAATACACATGGACTAATAAATGACGTTATGGTTTTCATATTTTAGAACGATTAGATAGACTCTTCACAAACTACGACTGGTTACATTATTTCCAGAATCAACTGTGAGACACTTACCAAGAACTCATTCAGACCATACCCCACTCCTCCTTACACTACAACCACCACGTAGAACTAATTCTAACATCTTTAGATTCGAAACTATCTGGACTTCACATCCTGACTTTATCCATATCCTCAGGGACAGTTGGCACCCGGCTCTTCCTTATGGGAAGCCATAGATTACTTCCAAGAAAATATAAAGCACTGGAATAAAATGACTTTTAGCAATATATTTCATTGCAAATAGCATTTGCTTGCTAGACTCGCAGGCATTCAATCATCCCCCCACTTTCTTACTAGTCAATTTTTGCAAGATCTAGAAATTTCCCTTTAAAATGAATATAATGATGTTCTACGCCTAGAAGAAGAAACTGGAAGCTTAAATCACGTGTTCAATGGTTACAAGAAGTTGACACAAATACTAAATTTTATTACCTTTTAACCTTATAACGTCGTCGTAGAAATCGTATCACAGCCTTACAAGATCAAGCAGGCAATTGTACTTTGACGACTCTCGTATCCATGCTATAATCAGTGACTACTTCACCACCTTATATACCACGAATTCCTCTAAATCATTGCTACACCACACCTCGCTTAACTCCACTACAATCACATCATCAGAAAAATTATCTCTTCTACGTCCTCCCACTGACCTAGAAATAACCATTGTTATTAGATCTTTCAAACCTTTTAAGGCACCTAGTCTCGATGGCCTACATCCTTTCTTTTACCAACATTATTGGTCAGACGTGGGCCCTAAAGTCACCACTTTCTATAAACAAATATTCTCAGATTGTGAAATTCAAATAGAGATCAACAAAACATACATTTGCCTTATCCCAAAAATGCGTCATGCTTCCATGATCTCTCAATATAGACCTATTAACCTTTGCTCCCCTATCTACAAAATCATCACCAAGCTTATAGTCCACTGAATCAAACCTCTTATGGCCAAAATTATCAGTCCCACTCAATCGAGCTTTCAACAAAATCGCTGAGCTGCATATATGCCATTATTGTTCAAGAAATTCTATCATATTTTAAGTGCAAATCGGGCAAAACCACTTACATGCTCCTTAAACTTGATTTAGAAAAGGCATTTGACCGCATTGAATAGTCTTTTGTCCGACAAGCCCTGCAATATTTTGATTTTCCTCCAACTCTTATCAAACGCATTATGTCCTGTGTCACAACTACTTCACTCTCAATTCTTATTAATGGGTCTCGCACACCTATGTATGCAATTACACACTAGCAAAATTGATGTGGCTGTTGACTGCCAGTTATGGACACCTATCAGTTTATCTCGGCATGGACCTAAACTTTCTCACATGTTCTCCACAGATGACATTATTCTTACATCCACCACCTCCGCCAAAAGTTGTCATACCATAATTGACATCCTAAATGAGTTCAATCACCTCCCTGGCCAAAAAATCAACTTTCAAAAATCCAAAATATTTTTCTCTAAAAATTGTACCCCCCCCCCCCAAGATAAAAATTTATTCTCACATCCATCCCCATACGAGAGAGATCCTCCTTTGGAAAATATTTAGGATTTCCCCTGTTCACTAACCGACCCTCCAAACGCGATTTTCATTGCTAATTGACAATTTTAAAATTAAGCTAGCGGGTTGGAAAACAAACTTCCTGAGTCTGGCAGGACGCACCACTCTCATTAACTCCACCCTTAACAGTTTACCGAATCATGTCATGCAATATATTAAACTCCCCCAGTATATCCTTCACCATCTTGAAAGATACCACCGCAATTTTCTCTGGGGTACAGCCCCCAACGCAAGAAAATCCATCTTATCAAATGGAGCACAGTGACCACTCCCAAGCAGCATGGTGGCTTAGGCATTTAGCCACTCCACCTTAAGAGCCAAACATTATCAGCCAGTCAAGCCTGGAGATTACTCAAGCACCCACCTCACTGTGGGCTGCCACCCTACTACATAAGTACTTCTATCACCGCAGCCCTCACACTATGGGAGGCTCTTTCATTTGGTTAAACTTAATTGCCAGATGGAAACTCTGCCAACAAGGCATACAATGGACTATTGGTAATGGCTCACTTATCAATTTTTGGACAGACCCCTGGCTCTAGTGCAATACTCCACTTTGTCACTATCTAGTTGGGCCTTTGCCATGACATACTGTAAACAATACTGTCTCTACCTATATTTCCCTTTGTCAATGGAATCTCAACTCCTTACCTTTTGAACTACCCTCATCCCTCATCCAACGCATCACTAATACACATATCCCTTCATACACTTCTTCAACCGATACCTTTGCTTGGTTCCTCACTAGGCACGGTACCTTCACCACTAAATCCCTATATCATTAGCTAATTCCGTAGTCATCCAGCCACTCCTTCAAATGGATTTGGAACCTCCACCTACCTCCTAAAATAAAATATTTCTTATGGCTATGTGGTTACAATCGATTACCCACTGTGGCATATAATCACCATATAGGCCTTCTCCCGACTAACCTTTACGGCCAATTCCAGATCAACTCAGAATCTATCAAGCATCTACTCATTCAATACCCAATAGTTGCATACTTATGGTCTGACTTTCATATGACCCGGTAAACTGCTATACTATTTGCTACACAACACAGTCATGAGAACCCCCCCTATTCAGTGGCTGAAATAGCTCATTTTACACAATGACGTTCCCAACTCACTCAATGACCCCAACTCCATTCTCGTTCCTTTTTGCTTATGGCATATATGGCTATCTCGAAATGGAAAACTATTTCGCGCCCAATCTACTCCACCCTCTTCATCCCATATTTTGAATATGGCTGCCGAATACTACAATCTTAAAGTTACACCACCATCCTCTCACGATCATATACCACTTTATATCAAATGACATCCTCCTAGCTCCACCTCTTTTAAACTCAATACAGACGACTTCGCTCAGTTATCATCAGGACACGACGGAATTTGTGGTGTAATCTGTGACTCATCTGGTACTTGGATTATGGGTTTTGCGAGTTACCATTTCTCTCATGGGAGCATGGAATCAGAACTATTCGCACTTTATCATGGGTTAAAATTATCTTTTATACATGGATACAAACCAATAGAAGTGAAAGTAGATGCCCAGACTATCATTAATTTCCTACCGATATCGCATCCGCTATATACTAACATCATTAATGATTGTAGGTTTCTACTCGCACAATTGGATGATCCAGCTGTACTTTACACCTACAGGGAACAAAATCAAGTTGCTGATCTACTTGCAAAATTTGGTAGCCAACTGGAGAGCTCTACAGGACTCATTGTATATACACAACCACCCCGTTTTGTTACAACAACACTGGAAGTTGATCGCATAGGCAAGTTTTTTGTCAGAATAGTGGCTCTACCATCTCTTCTACCTTCAGACCGTTTGCAAACACCTCTTGTACACCCTCTATATAATACTACTAATATAGTCCCTACTAGTAGTAGTTTTACCCCAGATGCCCCATTTTGTTACGACCCAGGTCGCCCCCCTAGGACATTAAATAGGTTGACTACAATTATTTGTAATATTACTAATATGTTTTAATAGAATGTTATCCTTTGCACCAAAAAAAGAATCAAGCATTCTTACCATGTAAAATGATTATTATGGGGAAATGATGCATACATTTTCTTGTAAGAAGAATAATAAAACATACTGTTGTTAATATATTACAATCATAAGCTTAAGTAATAAACCAAATAAAAACCAGAGTAAAGCTTTAGTAAACCTTAAGAAAAGATAAAGAAAGAAAACTACATTCAAATTCTAACAATGAAAACTAAGAAAACATAAAGAAAGAATGCGCATGACCGTTTCAGTTTTAGCTTTTATCCGGGCCTTATGAGCTTCTTATCCCTTTTGGCAATCTTTCTCATCTTCTTCACCTTAACTTTGGCAGCAATATTATTCCTTCTCTTCGGTTGTCGCTCTTCCTTCAACTTCTCTCTGTTGTCAACTCTTTCTTTACACTTCTCCCTACTCTTCTCATTCCTCCGCTTCTCCTTCTTCATACTCTGCTTCAACTTTGAAGGGTTATCATATACTTTCACTCCCATTGCCCTCTTTGCTGTTGCCTTCCATAATTCCCTCACCGCCACCTTCCGATTCTCCCTCTTGACTCTTTCCAACTCTTTCACTTTCGATACTTTCCTATTCCTCTTCTTTTTGTTATTATCATCATCCTCTCCAATTTTGACTTTTCCAAACCGCATTTCCTTGTCAACGTTGTCATCATCTCCGTCACTCCTCTTTCTCTTCTTCGATTTCGCATCTTTTTCAATTCTCTGGCTCTTAGGTTTGTTGGTTTTGCCAGTACCTCATTTGTTACGACGGAGCATTTCAATCTTTCTGCGTAGCTTTTGCATCATCTCTTCGCGAGTAGTAGAGGAGGTACTAGGGTTACCATTATTATTATTAGGGTCATTATTTTTTTGCAATTTCTGAAGGGAGTGAATGAGGAGTCGGAGGGTGGACAACTGATCTTTCTTATTAGGGTCAACACGGTTGCGACGGGCGATTTTGAGCTGTGCTTTGTTTCGTTGCTTTAAGGAGGCTTTTTCAACTTTGGAGAGGCCGCCTTGGTACTGCGGTTTGCTGTGGGAGACATCATCAGGGAGGTAGTGGGTGTAATAAGGTCAATCAGCTTCGAAGAAGACTCTGTACTTGCTGATTAGGGCTTTCAAATCAATGGTGGTGATACGAAAATGGCAATGGAATAGTAAAAGGAAGGAAGAAAAGCTGCGGAAGAAATGTAACAAAATAAAATAAAGAAGAAGAAGATAGCTAGGGCAAAATAAAAGGAATATTCTCTGACTACTTGTACTAAGAATAGAAATTACAATATATAGAGTTAGTAAGGGAAGATTCCCCTGCTAGCACTCGCGCCCTTTCCTATTTGGCTAACTTGGACCTTTCGTATAAAAGTCAAAGAAAGTTACAAGGCCAATGTGTAATTACTATAAGTTGTAATTTAAAACCTAAGTGGACTAAACTAATATTTCTCAAACTTCTCTTCAGCCTTATATTTAACTAACTTAACTACCCTGTACCATTCAACAAGCATAATGTACTACTGGCACAAGCTACTCGTATCAGATCCCCCTTTTCAAAATCTTCCTTGTCCTCAACGAAGGAAAGAAGAAAATCTAGTCCTTGGGGAATGATAATCATCCCAAGTAGCATGTTCTGGTGTTGTTTGCGCCCATTGAACGAGTACTTGAGCAATGGCTTTGTTCCCTTTTTGCGCCATGCGTCTTTCTAAAATTTGTTGAGGTTGAGGGCAGTAGGGACTAGAGATACCAATGACTGGGGGTGTGAAATCTTCTTAGGTAACTTGTGGCAAGGTTTGAGCTGGGATACATGAAATGTAGGGTGGAGAAGGAGTTGAGAAGGCAATGACAATTTGTAAGCTACATTTTAAATTCTTTGTAAGATCTGATATGGCCCATAGTATTTGGTTGAGAGTTTGGAGAAATGAGAGCCTGACATACTGAGTTGCCTATAAGGTTGGATCTTGAGGTACACCCAATCACCTTCCTTGAATTGTCTGTCAGACCTATGCTTATTAGCTTGTGTAGCCATCCTCTGTTGGGCCCTCTATAGATTGTATTTCAGCAGCTGGTACTTGAACTCTCTGGTGAGCAGGCTTCTATCTACCTCTTCCATGATAGAATCTCCTGTAATGTAAGGTAAGTGGAGTGGTGGGGGTTGTCCATACAAGGCTTCATAGGGTATGGTTTGGATTGAGAAATGGAATGTGGTATTATACCACCACTCAGCAGCTGCCAAATAAGAGAACTAATCCTTTTGAGAGTCAAAACAAAAACACCTGAGATATGTCTCCAAATACCTATTGACAACCTCTGTTTGCCCATCGGATTGAGGATGATAGGCTGTGGAAGTACTGAGTGTGACTCCATGCATAGAAAATAGTTCTTGTTATAGTTTGCTATTTAATATAGGGTCTCTATCACTGACTATATCTTCTGGCATCCCATATAATTTGAACACCTGTTCCATGAATAATTTGGCAATGTTACCAGCTGAGTATGGATGTGACAGTCCAATGAAGTGGGCATATTTTGTTAACCTATCAACAACTACCCAAAAGATAGACTTCCCATGGGACTTTGGCAATCCCTCAATGAAATCCATACTAATGTAATCTATGCCAGTGAGGGTAATTTGAGGGGTTGAAGTAGTCCTGGGTAGGGTGTGGTTTCATACTTACTTCTTCAACAAGTTTCACACTGCTTGACATTAGTCTGAACATCTTCTTTGAAGCCTTTCCAATAGAAAAGGGCAGCTATTCTCCTGTAAGTATGGTCTATACCTGAGTGTCCTCCACTAGGGGAGTTGTGCCATAGTTGAACAATGTTCTTCCTTAGCTGCTCATCAAGGCCTACCACCAGCTTCCCATTTCTTCTGAGTTGCTCATGTACAAAAGAGTAGCCATTGATCTCAACATTCCCCAGCTTAAGTTCAGCAATAAGGTCAGTGAGCTCAATGTCTATTGTCCAACTTTGCAAAATGAGACTTAGCAAATCAGTCTTGGCAGTGGACAGTGTCAATGCAGATAGTTCTACCAATGGTAGCCTGGACAATGCATCTGCTACCTTATTCTTCTTTCCCTTTTTGTATTCAGTAATGAAGTCATATTGCATGAGCTTAGTTATCCATTTAAGTTGGGACCCTGTGTGCAGCTTTTGCTCTAAGAGAAACTTAAGAGCCTTTTGATCTGTTTTCACTGTGAACGGCCTTCCTGTCAAATACTGAGCCTACTTGTTCACTGCCATCACCAATGCTAGAAGTTCCTTGTCATAAATAGATAAGAATTGGTGTTGAGGAGACAATCCCTTGCTTAAGTAAGCAATTGGCTATCCCTTTTGCATTAGAACATCCTCTATTCCCATGCTACATGCATCAGTCTTTACCACAAAGGGAATGGAAAAGTCAGGTAGAGTTAACAAAGGTGCAGAAGTTAAGGCTTCCTTCAGCTTGTTGAAAGCTTCAGTTGCCTTGCAAGACCACTGGAAGTTGTCCTTCTTGAGTAAATCAGTAAGAGGTTTGCTCATAAATCCATAACCTTTGATAAACCTCCTGTAATATCCTGCTAAACCTAGAAATCCCCTTAGTTGCTTGACGTTAGAAGGTTCAGGTTCAGGCCAGGCCTGTACAGCTTCTATCTTCTTAGGATCAGTGGCTACATCTGCAGCTGAGATGTGGTGGCCTAAGTATTCGATTCTGTCAGCAGTAAAGATACACTTGCTCCTCTTGGCAAAGAGCTGGTGTTGCACCAGCAATTCAAAGGTAGTTCTGAGGTGTTGGACATGATCCTCTAAGCTCTTACTGAACACTAAGATGTCATCAAAGAAAACCAATATGAATTTCCTCAGATAAGCCTTGAATATATGATTCATCAATAATTGAAAACTTGAAGGGGCATTAGTTAAGCCAAAGGTTATAACTAGGTATTCATAATGTCTAAAGTGAGTCCTGAAAGCTGTTTTATGTATGTCTGCAGGTGTCATCCTGATTTGATGATACCTAGCCCTTAAGTCTATCTTAGAGTAGACTTTTGAGCCTCCTAACTCATCCAATAGTTCTTCAATGATAGGTATGGGAAACTTATCTTTGATAGTCAGCTTGTTCAATGCTCTGTAGTCCACACACAATCTCAAGAGTCATCGTGTTTGCTCACCAGGACTACAGGTGATGCATAAGAGCTAGAGTTAAACTAGATTATGCCTTGACTCAGCATTTCTTCTGTCATTTTCTCAATCACATCCTTCTGAATAGGGGAGTACCTTTAGGGTCTAGAATTCACTGGCAGGCTACCCTCTACTAGAGGAATGTGATGATCAAACACCCCTCTTGAAGGAGATAGCTATTTAGGTTCAGCAAAAAGTTCCCTATATCCCTCCAGGAGCATTTGTATTTCAAGGGGTTCTTCCTGCTTTGAATTTGACTCCTCCTTACTGTTTTCCCCTGGGAAAACCTTGATCATAAATATTTGAGCAGTGTTGACTATGATATTATTGAGAGCCTTAGCATTCACTGTCTTGAAGGAGGGGTGGACTCCTTGCAAGGTGACCTGATTTCCCTTTGTATAAGAATTGCATCCACAGCTTTGCAAAGTTAACTTGGATGCCCCCTAACTTACACAGCCATTATATACCCAGTACCACATCACAGCTGCCTATAGGGAGAACCAAGAAGTCATCTATAAATACCACACCTTGCATTAGCCAAGTAAAAGCTTTGCTGCCCTTTACTGATTGTATCACTCTCCTATCAGCAACTGAAACATCTTGTGAACTCATTTGGTAAACTTTGCATCCAAGCCTTTTTGTTGTTTGTTCATTGATAAAATTATGGGTGGAGCCACAATCAATCAAGACATTGATTGGCTTTTGTTCAGTGAAGCCTTGGATCCTCAAAGTCTTGTATCCCATGGAGCCATTAATAGCTTCCAAGAAAATCTCACAGTTCTCAATAGGGTCCTCTTTCATCTCTTGTTCTTCAGTGATTTCCTCAAGGTCTTGTTCTTCTGGAGTAATCAGTTGTACTTCCTCAATTTTTAAGGGGTAAAAATGTCTTTTTGCCTTACATTTGTGCCCTGGTGTGAACTTTTCATCACAGAAAAAACATATCCCATTTGCTCTCTTCTCATCCATCTCAGCTGGGGTGAGCCTTCTTCTTCTGTTATTGTCAAAGTTAGCAGCCATTGGCTTCTTGTAAGTAGGCTGGTTCCCTTTAAACATGCCATAATTTCCTTGACCTGCAGGGGGTTTATACACAGTTGAAGCTGAAAAGGTACCCTTGATTGCCTTGCATTGAGCAGCAAAATTGGCTCTTGTAGCCTAGCCAAGTAGTATGCCTGTGGAAGACTAGTAGGGTTGCCCACCTTAACAGCAATTGCTAAGCTCAGGTTTCAAGTTGTTCAGGAAAATACTGATGGCATGTTCTGTAGAGAGGTTGATCCTTGTCATCACACTCACAAAAGCCTTCTGATAATCCTTTACAGAACCTGTATGTTTGGTGTTCATTAACTCAGTCATGGGGTTAGAATATTCAGCTCCAAAGCTGTCACAAAGAGCCCGCAAATACTCATCCCAAGTAGGTAATGGCATGGGACCTCGACTCCTCATATACCCCAAATGCCACTGTAAAGCATCTCCCTCAAAGTGTAGAGAGACTAACTTCATCTTTT